CGCTGCCCCTGTGGCCTGACGCTGCCCCCGCCCCCCAGGAGACCGTGTTCCAGGAGATGTGTGAGGGGCTGCTGGAGGAGTCGGACGGGGAGGGCGAGCCCGGCCAGGGTGCACCACTCGTGGCCAGCGAGGCTGAGGGAACCGAGTCCTCTCCCCAACTTGCCCGCCTGGCCACTGCCGTGGAGAAGAAGACGGAGCAGCGGCGGCGGCGGGAGAAGGCTGCCCGCGCCCTGGTGAGCGCCGGCCTGGCTGCTGTCGGGGCCTCTCCACGGCTTTGTCAGCCGGGACCCAGCTCCAGGCGAAGGCCCTGCTGCCCTGGTGCATGGGTTGGAGAGGGGAGACGTGGGGGGTCTCTGTGGGAAAACAGCTGCTCAAGCCAGGTGTTAGGGTGCCTGCCTATAATAGCAGCTACTTGGGCGGCTGAGGCAGGAGGATGTCCAGTTTGAGACCTGAGCTGGGGGGTAACCCAGTGGTTGAGCGTCCTGGGGTTCAATTCCTTGTACCAGGGCAAAATAACTTCGAGCAGATAGTTGAGCAGCCATTGTACGGAGGTGGGGAGCAGCGGAAGGAGGCTGTGGGGCACTGGACCCCTGACCCGGCCCTTCCTCCCCCCAGAGGGCTCAGCAGGCCGTGCTGCGGGCCGCCCGGCTCCGGCACCAGGAGCTCTTCCGTTTGCGCGGGATCAAGGCCCAGGTGGCCCAGCGGCTGGCGGAGCTGGCGCGGCGGCGAGAGAGGCGGCGGCTGAAGCGGCTGGCAGAGGACGACAAGCCGCGCAGGCTGGGGCGGCTCAAGTGAGGCCCAGGAGCCCCTCTGTCCCCAGCGTCCACTCTGCCGGGGGGGCCTTGGACTTGGGGCCCCGGCTGAGCATTCGTCCCCGTTCCTGCAGGTACCAGGCCCCCGACATCGACGTGCAGCTCAGCTCGGAGCGGTCGGACTCGCTGAGGACCCTGAAGGTGCGTGTCCGCAGTGCTGTGCGCGGGACTGTGCCCAGTGATGACTCCATCCTTGCTCCCCGTGCCCCCAGGGGCTGTGGGCGACACCTTGGTGCCCTGGGCTGGCCTGGTGAGGCCTTGCCTGGGGCTGAGGGCACAGGGTCCTGCGGGGTTGGGCAGGGGGCCCTTCAGTCCTGTGCGGCGTTGGATGGGCCGGGCCTGCCCGGGACCCGCCTGGCTCCTGCCCGGGGCTCCCTGGTGCATGGGCGCCGTGTCCTGTGGCCCCGGCCTCTGGCGTTGTTCCTGGCTCCGCTGCCTCCTCAGCTCCTTCCCTCCCGACTCCTGACCCAGCCCTGGGCCCAGATCTGTGTCCTGGGACGCGCCGGTCACCCTCCCTCTCTGTCCCTCCGTGTCACAGCCCGAGGGCAACATCCTCCGAGACCGCTTCAAGAGCTTCCAGCGCCGGAACATGATCGAGCCCCGCGAGAGAGCCAAGTGAGGGCGGGGCAGGGGCCGGGTGGGGACGCCCCAGTGCGCGACCGGGCTGGCCTCCCTGATGCCCGCTGTGTTTTGCAGGTTCAAGCGCAAGTACAAGGTGAAGCTGGTGGAGAAACGGGCGTTCCGAGAGATCCAGTAAGTGTCCCCTCCCCGCCGCAGTGACAGACGCCCGGGAGCCCTGGTCCCTGTAGCGTCCTGTGGTCACAAGTCCTGATCAGCCTGGGGTGGCGTCGGAGGGTCCCAAAGGGAAACGAAGGGGCCCAAACCAGAGGGGGTGCCCGTCCTCACTGCCTCGGCCCCTCTGTTTCCAGGTTGTAGCAGCACGATGTGACGCGGGAGCCCCGCCCCTCAATAAAGCACCTTGGCTTCTTCCCTCCTGCCCATCCTTTCTGTCGCTGCGGACGCCCCCTGCTGGCCAGGACGCAGGGGGCAGTGCTTCTTTGCACCGAAGCCCGGGGGAAGCTGGATGTGCCGGCGCTGCCATCCCTGTGGCTCTGTAGACCCCGCCCGGCCCCAGCGCCGGGAAGAGGGCAGACCTGAGGAGGCTGGCGGGGCGGTGCTGGTGGAGGCGGAGGCCGGGCAGGGCGGGCCGTGGGGTGCGTTAGCGAGCGTGGAGTTACAGGCGAGGAGGCAGGCTGTAAAAAGCGGGTGAGTCTCCCTACGTGCACGCACACTTTCAAGGCCAGCCTGGGCTTCACGGTGAGACCCTGTCTCAAAGAAAAAAAAAAGGGGTGTTTGGAGCAGGGTCTTGCTGAGGCGCCCAGGCTGGCTTTGAAGTGGGGAGCCCCCTGACGAGCTGGGGGCGGCAGGGCTGCACCATGCGCCCCCCCGCCAGCCTCTGTTCTGTAAGGCACGCGGGGTGGTCTCCGAGCCTCGGGCAGAGTACGGTGGCTGCCCTTGGCCTTTGCCTCTGCTCCCTCCGCGGATACCTGCCCTGCAGTGTCACGGCGTGTCGCAGATGCACACGGTGAAAGCACGCTGGGCGTGGGGGCGCACGCCTGTAATTCCGGCACTCAGATCATTTCCAGTTCGAGACCAGCCTGGGCTACAAAGTGAGCTCAAGGCCAGTCTGAACCTCAAAGTGAGACCCTGTCTCAAAAAGGCAAAAAGAAGAACCAGGAAAGATGGTGAAGCAGCTTGCTGGGAGCACATCTCAGAGGTCTGTCGGGCTCTCGACAGCCTCACGTTTTCTCACAGCTGCCTGCGCGCCTCGATGTGGCCGTGGCCACCTCCCCGTGAGGCAGGAGTGGGTTTTACGGGTTTTATTTCTTTTGAGGCAGGGTCTGGCTATACAGCCCAGGCTGCCCTTGCACTCTCAGCAGTCTTCCTGCCTCAGTCTCTCCAGTGCTGGGATCACAGGCATGCGCCAGCACACCTGGCTTTCCTCTCCATCTTAAATAAAAAGAAAAAACATTTGTCAGATAAGGAAACGGCTCTTCATGCCTGTGTCTGGGAGTAAGTTGGGGACAGATGCGAGGAACAGTTGGAGAGGCCAGGCTTCCCGCAGTGCTGAGGAGTGGGGTGCGCAGGGAGGGGGACCTGGAGGGCTCAACCAGACAGGATGCCCAGCAGCCCGAGAGGCCTGGGCCACAGAGGCAGGGTGCCCCCCTTCCCGGCCCTGGGTGAGGGAAGCGCATCTTCTGGCAGCAGCAGGGGCGTAGCGTGTCCTAAGCCGGGGGCACTGGTCCATCTGGACTCTGCATCAGGAGGCTGGGAGCCAGGGCCTCCGCAGCTTCCTGTGCACGGGGATGAGGGGCAGGGCGGCCAGTGGGGCAGGGCATCCGCAGGGCCTTCTCTGCAGCTTGCAGGCTGGCCCGATGCTGGCTGGGAAGGTTGGCTGGGAGCTAGTGTGAGGCTAAGGTGAAGGTCTCGGGTTGTGTATTGGCTGGGGTTCCTTCCAGGGCTCCACATCTGCATCTGTAATGTCCGGTTATTGTTTGGAATCCAAAATGGTAAACACCCCAGCCCCTGCCAAGCCTGGATCTGCCTGTGTGATTAAAAAACGTTGAAAACCTGGGGCTGGAAGGAGGCGGAGGCAGGGGGATCACAAACTCAAGCCCAGCGTGGGCAACAGAGTGAGACCTTACCTCAAACAGCTGGGTGTGGTGACGCGCACCTGTAATCCCAGCACAGGGGAGGCTGAGGCAGGAGGATCACTGCAAGTTCAAGGCCAGTTTGGGCTACATAGTTCATGTCTCAAAAAGGGAAAGTTCTGGATTCAGTGCCAGTACTGGGAAAAAACCCTCCCCTTGGAAAGGGCCGGGAACTCACTGGGTCTTTGGGTAGGAAGGAGATGCAGCCGCACAGGCGCCTGGGGTTCTGCTTTCAAACCAGGAGCTGGGTTGCAGCGGCCCTGCGACTGCTCTGCCACTGCCCCCATGGCTACACGGCGGTGAAAGTCGGAGCACTCGGGACAGGGCCCGGCCCCACCCACCAAGGCCCGGCGCGGGCGTGCTGGCTGTTCCCGCAGGGAGAAAATAAAAGACGTGGCAACTTGCAGTCCGTGCCAGAGCCTCACAAACGCCCTGACCTCATGGCTCCTGGGAAAGTGCCCGGAGGAAACGGCGGGAGCAGGGGAAGCCCTGCGGAGCAGTCCACTGTGCAGGGAGTCTGCTGTTCGTGAGAAAGGGGCGGGGGTTCTCTCCGACCACGCTGGCATCCGCTCTAAACCCCAGCCCTCTCCTCCCGGGGTGGTGGAAGCCAGGAAGCAAGCAATGCTCAAAGGACCAGCGCTTCCCTGAAAAGAACCACAGCCATTCTCAGCGACAGTCAGGACCTGAGCTCTTCCATTGATGAGAACAGCCGAGTTCACATCAGGAAAACCA